CTCAGTTTGTGTTTGCCAAATTTAAACAAAAAGGAAGAACAATTGAAGTTCCAATGGATATCTTGCTTAAATATTATATTATGGTGCAGGTATGACTTCCGGGCTGGATTTTGGGGAGTGATGGGAGGTCCTTGCCTGGGCATAATTCCGGTAAGATTGGTTATTCAAAGGGATGCATGGCATGTAGTATTATAGTGTATCCGTCACATTGTAATACTTAAATAATCCTATCTCCTTTCAGCCATATATTGAAGAGTTTAACTATCCCATGCCTGAAAACTGTGCTGGTGGGAACACGGGTGTCTTTGTCAATGGGAGAGAGCTTCATAACAAAGATATGCAATTACTATGCAGCAGAGGCCTTCCACCTCAAAATGACAAATCTTACATCATTGAAATTTCTGGCAGAGTGCTTGATGAGGATACTGGTAAAGAGCTTGAGAGCCTCGGCAAGCTGGCCCCAACGTAAGTAAACCTATTTTCTAATTATCTTTTTTGCCCCTATTTTATGAAATAGCTTGCCCCTTTCTATCCATTTTAACCTCAAGCTAACATCATTTCTCGATAAAAAATGAGCTCCAATCGTCAACTAATTTTTTGGAAACTTTTTGTGATGACTAACTGAAAGAATTTAGAATTGGGTTGAGGTCACAAAGTTATACTTGAACCATCCTATTAATTAGTTCAACTCAAGGACACTTATTAACCCATGATTTTCCTATCATTTATCTATTATGGAAATAGAGAACATATAAGAGGGCAAGTATAAGTTACATTCAAAGAACTATATATATGTGTGTGTGCGTGTGTGCGTGAATGACTTTAATCATATATTATTTTCAAACCTATGCGCCAAGGTAAAACCAAACATAAGAAATAACTTTCTTTGGGGGGAATACATAGTGTAGAATATAATGTTTTCTTTAAATGAATTAAAGATTATTTAAATGTTACGTAGCATAATGATGATTTATTATCCCTGCAATCTATTTATTTTAATCCTGAATATATATGAAGATATAGATTTAGTCCTTCAAAACCCTCCGTCCAAACTGACTTTTAGTGTTCTCTTTCCCTGATACTTTTTGGGATCCATGAAGTTTCTCTGAAATATTTTTTGTACTGACAAGAGTTCATGCTCGAACTTTAACATGATCTCTTTAAACACTTGAACAGAGTTGAGAGAATGAAATGTGGATTCGGGATGAAAGTTCCGAAAAGGGCAGCATGATGATGAGTATCCAGAAGCAACACAGATGCAGAGATGCTTCATTCCTCAGCAACACCATGACCAACTAAGCCACTGATATTGGTTGCAGGTCTGGATTCTGGAGTGTTTAGGATGGAATTTATATGAACTTGTTGCATGTATGTCTAAGAATGCAGTGCATACTTTCAAAAGAAATGCAGTAGCATGTGTTAACCATCATACCTAATACGTAGTAATAGTTATTTATACTTCGTATATTAATGTTAGCCATGGTTTGGTGGTCTTTTTCTATCATATGCTTATAGGAGGTATGCATTATGCACATTCATTGAACTTCTAGAAAATCTATTTTCAGTTAATCAGATACTCTATCTTGTACAATAAGGTGTGCTTCCATTAATTACTACTCCGGTATTACTTGCAAAATGATCTTCAATGTAGTTGTAGTATATATAATATACGGAATATTACGGAGTAATATTAATATATAGCGTAGATTCATGCTCGTGCTTGTAGTTTTGGATATAACCCAATGTGATGTTCTGTAAAAAGTAAAAGGACTGAAAAATACCCGTAAAATGTAGGGCAATCAAACAACCCCGCTTGATGAAGAAACTGAAAACAACCCTGTAAATATGCCTATCAGTCTATCACTTGGGTTTGCATATTTACTTGTAACTTAATGAGCTTAAATGAGAGCGGCTTACTTATTTACCTGTTGCTTAATTGAAATTAGGGGTGGATTGGGCCGGCTCGGCCCGACCCAGGACCCGACCCGGTCCGTTTTTGTGCTGGACCGGCCCGACCTGGCCGGTACCAAGACTGGGGCCCGAACCCGGGCATTAATGTGCCGGCTACGGGCTTGCTAAATGATGGACCGGTCCGGGCCCAAATATTTTGTTTTTTAATTTTTTCAGGTTGGACTTGTTGGTGCCTGCTAGGTGGGTGGGGCTGGGCGGTTAGGGGGTGGAATTAATTCAAAAACCCAAAAAAATATATTCATACCCGGCCCGGTCCTGGTTCTATCCCGGTCCGGTACCGGGCCCGAATAATTTGGACCTGGAGCCCGGCCCGACTCGGGCCCAGTCCACCCCTAATTGAAATTGGTAATTATTCGTTTAGTAAAAAAATTGACTATGTTATTTAAGAATGTACTCCGTATTTAATTGGACTGATTTCAATCCCAGATTAAAATCAAAATTTGATAGTTATAAAATAAGAATATACATTTACCAAAATTAAACAAACTAGACTAAAAATATTGTTTAATTAAAAACATCTTTAGGTCATGAACTACTCTTTCCCATTAAAATGCCACAATTATTCAAGTGGTGATTCAAATTCATTATGTAGTATCGTAGTGCATAGTAAATGTCTTTGTAGCAAGGCCCCAATAGGAATGTTTTTACTTCGACCGTAATTCGTCTCATACTAGACCAGACCAGATCAGACTTGGGTAATTATAAAATACAAAGAAACCGGACCAGACTAGCAAATTACAGTCCAAGTAAAAACATCCTAAGTAACATTATATTACTCATTGACAATTAAAAAATAATCCTAAATTGATTATTTTTACCAAACGAAGACTATTTATTTGACATATAATATTAACAATATTATGTATAAATAATTAAAAATCAATTAATTCAGCCTGGCGTCTTAATTTTTTTTGACAACACCTGACGTCTTAATATAGATAGGTATCTTTGACATAACATGCATTATTTAGGTGACTAGGCCATTGGTTCAATCGAAGTCCTCGTTGTTGACATAAGTGTACATATACAAACATAGAGCATTCCAATTTATATCTCTACCAGATCGGACAGAAGGATCATCTAAGAGTGGCAAATTTGAAAACAATAATGCAACTACTAACCTATTGCTATAATTAGGAATATATAATAATGTAATATTGTAGACAAAAACTAAGCAGGTTGGCATTCAGAAATTTGCAATTGGAGAGATTGAGATAGATGAGGTGGGTGGGGTAGGGAAAAATAAAAGGTGGGGTGGGATTAGTGATTTGTAAGAGACAGATAGAGTGAAAAAGAAATAGAGAGGAGAAATGGTGGGAAAGAAATGAAGAGGGCAAAGAGCAAACTGCAAGTATTCATTGCCACCCATTATAGATAGTACGGAGTATATGTTATGATTTGAAGTACGGGTAGTATTTAAATAAGTTAATTAAATATGCAGAGCTGAGCCAAATAGCAAATACATGCACTAGAAGGCATTTTTTGAAAATATATTAAGAGTATTCTATAAGGAGTACTTTATGTAGGCGATTGGTTCAATCTGAGTCTCCGGTGATGCACATGAGGACAAAGAAAAGTATATTGACGTACCAAATCTAAGATCTCATATAAATTTATGCAAATTACTATTTAAGACTATATTGACGTGGAATATTTAGATTTCCTAAAACAAGTTTTAAATAAATTCACAATTTAGAAAATACAAATTTTTATTACTTCAAAATTTTATCAAGTCAAATCAATTTAAACTTCATTTGATCAAATTAGACTAGAGTATGCTTATATTTGATCAAATGAGACCAATTGAAATTGAAAAAGCTTCCAAAATAGGACTAAAACAGTTTGAAAATTACAAAATACGACTGTCATGTTTTTTTATTCCCAAAATAGGAGTAATTACTGCCAAGTTTGGAAAATACTGTCATGTTTGAAGTATGGTACTGCCAAAACATGGCAGTAATTAGTAGGGGTGGGAAAAACCGAACCGAAACCCGGAAACCGACCCTGGATTGACTCGAATTATGATCCCGGTCCGGGTTTTTTCTTTCTAACCGGCCCGAATTAAATAAAACCCGAACCGAACCCAAAATTCCGGGCTCATTAACCGGCCTTAAAATCTATAACCCGGCCCGGACCGATAAAAACCCGAAACAATTAGCTTTAATATAAAATTAATATAATATATGAATATAAATTTATAAATATTTCCTAATATATGATTATGATCACGTTGGATAAAAAAATGATTTATTAACTTTTAGTGACTACAAATATGTTCAATTTTTTTAGCTTAATGACTGAAAATATATGTATAACAACTCTAGTCACATTTTTATCTATAAATTTTATTTCATAATATTTTTAAGAAGAAACTATGTTATTTATTTATATGCATCTTAAATAAAATATTAAGATAATTATCCTCTTTGGATTTGAATTGTTGGTGATTTTGGAGATTATTATTTCTGTTATTATTTGTGATTTGTATTTTTGATTAATTTTATTTGCAAATAGGTGTTAAAATATAAAACAACAATGAGATATTTCATGTTCAGGCTTTAACCGACCCAAGCCGAACCCGGACCGAACCCGGGCTACCAAAAACCCGACTCGGGCCGAACATAATGGGCTTTGTTCCGATCTTTAATTTTCATAACTCGAGACCTTACGAGTAATTTCTGGGTTTAGCAAAAACCCGACCCAGACCGGACCGATCCCAACCCTAGTAATTAGTCCTATTTTTGGAATAAAAACATGACAGTCATATTTTGAAATTTTGAAACCTTTTTACTCTTATTTGGGACGATATTCTCATTGAAATTAGATTATACAAGTGAGTATATCATAAAATCAGATCAAATTCAAACAAAACAAATAAGACCAAAGCATAAGGCCAAATTAAAGCTCTCGAGAATGAGGTTATTCGGATTCCATTGCAAATGGCAATGCGGAGGGGAGTTATGAATCAAGCACTACATATACCGAACCCCACTAGCCCTATAAGTATGATGACTACTTCTATGGAGTATATATTATTCTTTAATGCAATCAGTACTCCAGCTGTTCTGATGTTGTTTCCCCCACTATTCACAATAATGGAGATTTATGTATGCATTCCCATTTTATTTAATTGTGTTATACTGATCGGAGTATATAATTACTCGCAGTGACAATAGGGGCAGAGGCAAGGCGATGAAGGGGACGATGATGAACAACACCGTGAGCAATAGTCAATTCTCATTCCTCGCCATTATCAAGTTTGCAGTTTGTATTATGCTATTCGGACTTGCCTGCCGTTTGTTTCTCTCCAGTGATCAGTTTCTGCAATTCTCCCCATTCCTGGTCGCCACTGACCAGAAGACATCGCCGCCGTCCGTTTCAAATCAGCTCCGGGCGAATCTCGAGCACCGGAGTTCTAGAACTGGTTAGCGAACTAAATTCCATGAACCTTGCAAGTTTTTTCGGCCATGCATGAATCGCTGTGTGCTAAATACTGCATATCGATCCATGATCGATCTATTTTGCTATCAATTTCTCCTTTTTGATGCAAATCAATTTGCTCTTAAGCCTTAAGAGCGGTAAATATTATGAATATATTAAGTATTAATAAAATCATGTGTTAATTGTCCAAAATCGGACGTTTATTGGTTTATCCATATTTTGTCTCCCCTGTAGAATTGATTCGACTCATTTATCTACTTTGTATTGTCCGGTTTTGCCAAACGAATGTGTAAATGGACTCAAGATGGATGATGCTGAAATGCTGAATCACTGAATGAAATGATCTTTGTTTGCAGTGAAGTGTGATTTGTTTAGGGGAGATTGGATTGCAGATGCTAAGGGTCCATTTTATACTGACCAGACTTGCTCTTCAATACAAACCCACCAGAACTGTATGAAGAATGGGCGGCCTGATATGGATTATATACACTGGAGGTGGAGACCGAGAGACTGTGAACTCCCCAGGTTTGATCCCGGGAAGTTCCTCAATCTCACGAGGAATAGATCAATGGCTTTTATTGGTGATTCAATTATGCGGAACCATGTTCAGTCTCTGCTTTGCATTCTCTCGCAGGTTAGACTTTCCTAACACCTGCATCTGTTTGGTGTTTTGTATGAATGATTCGTTGCTTCTCTTCTGGTGATATCTCTTCTTCTTTACAGCTATTTTAAGCATAATTAATTAATGTTGTTGGGAAAGTAAAAAAACAAGTGTGTTGCTGGCTAAAGTTGGCAGGATTAGAATAATTTGTCCGCTGAGTGGTCCCTTGTCTTTAAGATTTGGGGATTTTTTCGTCATTAAGAGGTATGAGGGACTTTTCATTTTAGACAGATAGGTTCCACTTACCATTTAAAGAAATAAGAACCAATAAGAGTATAAGAGCATCACCAATCACTATAAAAATGAGGGTCTAAAAATACTGCACGGATAACTCAATTGATCATGTCACGAAAAAGTTGGTAAGATTGTCTAAGGATTGAAACACACAAATACACAATAGCCGTATAGAGGTTACAACTTTTGTATGTTGGATGGGATCTTTGATGTACACGGGTACAAAGTCTATCACCATTAGATTGGCTGAGTCACCGTGATTTACAATCTCACATATCCTTTGTCGAGTCGGTGCATGAGAAGCCTTAGAGATTGAGGATTCAACATTCTAGAAGAGTGATCGTCTAAAAATATATTTTCTGACATGTTTTTTTGGTGTACCTATTCTAATGATACATGAAATTTATACACATTTGGCTCACATTTGTATGTAAGTGTATTTGCATACATACACTACGCACGACTAGTTGCTTGTGAACACACGTGACTCATGCAACAATTATTTTGTATACACAAACAATTATACGTACTATATAAATATGTGTCAAATGTATGCAATTTTTGTGCACATGAATTTGTTTGATAGAAATCACTCCGTACTTCTTAGGACTTAGGGGTGTGAAAGGACACTCAAATAAGGACTAATGTATACGGAGTATTATGTACTCCCTCCGTAACTTAAAAATCTTCTCACTTTCCTTTTTCGTCCGTAATACAAAAATCTTCCCATTTCTAAATCTTCCCATCATACCCTCAATAATTCTTAAAATAATTCACTATTACAACTACTTTTTTTGGATTTATCCTACATTCTACCACATTATTCCACTATTTTCCCACCATACCCTCAATAATTCATATATCTTTCACTATTCTTAATCTACCTCCTTTTGAAATGGGAAGATTCTAAAGTTAAGGAGGGAGCAGTACGTACTTCGTACTCAATAAGCGGTAATTCTCAAATGCGGAGCATTTCTTGCAGGAGGAAAAAGTTGACGAGGTATACCACGATGAGCAATACAAAAGTAGAAGATGGTATTTCCCCGCAAACAACTTCACCCTTTCAGTGGTTTGGTCTCCTTACCTTACAAAAGCCGTCATATTTGAAGACAACGACGGCGTTTCGACAGATATAGTCCGTCTCCACCTCGACAAACCCGATGACATATGGAAAGATCAATTCAAGAATTTCGATTACGTTATTCTTGCCGGCGGGAAATGGTTTCTCAAACCGGCAATTTACTACGAGAAAGATGAGATTGTGGGCTGCCATAGCTGTAATGAGAAGAACATTACAGAGTTACGGTTTGATTATGTGTACCGCAAAGCGTTGAATTCAACCCTAGAATACATTTTGAGGTCAAAGCATGAAAAGGTCAATGTGTTGTTCAGAACCACAACACCGGATCACTTCGAGAATGGGGAGTGGAACACTGGCGGTTATTGCAACAGGACATTGCCGTTTAAGGAAGGCGAGGCTGAGATGAATGGCATGGATGAGCTAATGCACCAAATAGAAGTGAAAGAATTTGAGAGAGCATTGACCACATTAGGATCCAATGAGAAGGGGTTAACTTTGAAACTTTTCGATACCACTTATCTTTCATTGCTGAGGCCGGACGGGCACCCGGGAATCTACAGGCATATGCAGCCTTCTTTAGCTGTCCAGAATGATTGTCTGCATTGGTGCTTGCCCGGACCTATTGATTCTTGGAATGATTTGATGATGGAAATGATTTTTCCATTCTTAGGAAGATAGAGATTTTATACTCTATCCCTTCTGCTATTTTAAGGGCTCTGCTGTGGCCATGTGCATATTAGTAGCATCTGTAATGTGCATAAAAGAAGCATCCCTCTCAAGCAACCATGACGACATTGGTACACACGTGACACGATCGAGATATACTTACAAGAATCGATCAATACAGTTTCTTTTTTTCTTTCACCGTCTTCGAGCCATCAATTACAAATTACCAAAAGTATATGAGGCTGCAGAAAGGATGATCAGCTAAGTACACTTGGTGGTGACAAGATGCCTTTTTTCCCATAGGTTCAATTGAGATGGCTTTGCAGCACATTTATATGCATTATTACACATTTACACTGCAGAGCAGAGGTAAAGAAACGAGCAAAGAAAGCTGTGGAGTGTGGATGGTTGTTATTAGTAAGCATGTCCTCCTGTCTGAATAAATCATAAAAAACTTATTCCCTTGGTTCTTATACAGCTAACTAACAATAAACTTAACACTATTTTGAAATTAAATTACTTTATTATACACAGTTATACATTTAATATCTTAAATTCTTCGTTGTATTCTATGCTTCGTATATACTCTGTTTATACAAAGTATACTAATCCATTCCACAGCAATTTTGGAGCTTATTAAATTATTTTTCTTTATTAATTATCAGCTCTATATAGGGAGTTGGTCCTCACTTTGGTTGCTCCATTTTTCCTGCTTAGTAATAATGATTGATTACAAAAGGTAATCCGTTAAGCTTTGTATGGAATTGGTATCTTTAAAAAACATGTATGCATTTGATAGCTTTGTGTAGTTGATTCAGAATTGGTCGTTGAAGTATAATTGGTTGTGATTTTATAATAAGATTTAAATTTCATTTTAAAAAGTCAACTCTAGGAACATGAAAGCTTGTTTAATTGATGATACTTAAGAATATGGTGGGCCTTTTGGCCGGGATATTACTAAAAAAAAAAGACAAAAGACAAAAAAGTGATATGTTTCTAAAAATTCCAAAAATGTGACCAAGATCACATTTAAACCCTGCGGTGCATAGTGACTCCGATCAAAGTAACTTCTCCGACCATAGTGACTCCGGTCACAGGGACTCCACCACAGTGACCGCAGACTACTGGCCAAAGTGATTGTCGCCGCACCTCGTTCAATGACTACCGCCACTCCACCGGCCACTGACCGCTGCCGCCACCGTCCAATCACTGCCGTCCCCCGGTCAGTGACTGTTGCTGCCACCGTCCAACCACTGCCATCCCCTAGTCAGTGACGGCCGCCACCACCTTCCAGTCACTGTCGTCCCTCGGGCAGTGGCTGCCGCTGTCCGCCCCTGCTATTAAACTGCCCAACACCACTGTCGCCGTCACTGCTCACCCCACCCCGACCTGCCCAACCCCTTTCCCAACCATCCCAGTTAGTCCCCTCCCCAACTATCCCCAGCCCCTAGCGCCGCCGACCCCAACCGGGCCATCACCCAACACCGACCCACTGCCCTGCTCCCCTGCCACGCCCATATCCTCCCCCAGTCCACTCCGACCAATCAACACCACCATGGACTCCGGCATGATCAGTCCCCTCCACTAGCCCCGCCCCAACCCAGGCCCCAACACCATTCCCAGCCCCGCCCATCAATGACGCACCCTAGCCCCACCCAACAACGTCGCAACACAGCCCCTCAAGCCACGCCCTACCGTCAAGCCTCGCCCCAGCCACGAACTCAGATCTGAAAATAAGAAGGAAAATCCCCAAATTTGATCTGGAATCGTGTTGATTTGCGGTCAAGAAGGACGACGAGGCTCAGGTCTGGCGGAGAGAAGGTGCCATGGTCGTACGAAGAGAAGAGGCGCCTCGACCTTGTGCACAAATGAAGGAAGACCACGCCATGGCCGGTGGTTTATGGCGGCAGAGAGAAGTCTCATGTTGTGCTGTGTGTAAGGAGGTGCATCTGTGCTGAGAGAAGCGTGAGGAGAGAAGCCTGAGTCACAGTTTTGCTCTTGTCCCCATTCCTCTTTCAGTTCTCGAGGACGGCATTGCTGCCGGTACCGCCCCTCCCGCGCAAGTAAGTACCCCAGCCCTTTCATGGCGGCTCGATACCTCTGGGTACGAGAAGACCGCGAACTTCATGATCTCTACTCAGCGCTACTGCCGAGGGCGGTTGGAGATGTTTTTTAGGAGGAGCTGCGGGCTCAGAAGAAGAAGGACCACTTGGGTCATGGGGTGCGGGTCCTGGAGCGGACTCCGCTCGGCGAGCAGTTCTTGCTTGATGTGGCCGATGACGGATTCGCCACGGGCTACAACCTTTGGGTGAAGGCCACGCTGCCGGGCTTCGCCAAGCTCCACGGTCTAGACTTCAAGTTGGTGGACCATACCGATGATGAAGATCTCAAGGCGGCCGTTGGGAAGTTGAAGCAGGATCCGAGGAGAGAGGTGAGAAACTTGCAGTTTCTTTTTCCGAATATAAAAGAGCGGCTTTTATATTAATATCGAGAAATCATACAAGACAACTTCCACACAGTTATGTCAGAGTTGTTCGTAAGCCCTGAGAATATACATAGAATCTGTCATCTCAATCAAAGCAACTTGATTCACAAGACACAAAATGGACAAATTTAAGCCTAAAACAATCGTAATTGAAACATTGTCTATTAAAAGTACTCCAGAAATCCAAACATCCAAACCAAACCTACTCAAAGTAAAATATAAATAAGTATTACTAAAGAAAAAATAAAATTGAAATACATTCTTTCCAAAAAAAACTCTATATTGTAAGAACCGACCCGGACCGGCCGGTTCGGACCGGAACCCATAAGTGGGATTCAAACTCGCGCCTACCACTACCATTCCAAGCTAGTGCCCAACGTGCTACACCTGCTAGTTTGTGAAAGCCGTAGCTTTAGTGTTCTTATATTGTGCTAACGTGAAATGTTTTTAGTAAGTCTTAATTTAATTAGTTAATTACATAATTAATCTATAATAATAATGATAATAATAATAATAATAATAATAAATATTATTGATGGATAGTCTACCCGGGGGGTATCTTATCCGAGGGGTTATTGTGGGAATAACTAGAGAGAAGTCAGAGTAAATAGGAGGAGAGAGAGTCGATTTTATTAAATGAACTCAGCGTGGTTTACAAGGAGAATAAGGGCTGCTATTTATAGCAGCAATAAATGTGATGAGAGTACGCGTGTCAGTAATCCAACGGCCGAGGGGTCACATCAATCGGGGTGGCACCGACCATCGCACGTTCCCCACATTAAATGCGGTGGGTGGATGTGACGTCGCATTAAATGCGGTGGTTGGCTGTCTCCAAAGGGAATCTTCGATGATTGAGTCCGTTTAGCCGAAGGCTCCTCGCGTAGCCGAGGGCTTTGTGTGGACGAAGGCACTGTGTGGCCGAAGGCTTCATGTATGGCCGAGGGCTTCATGTATGGCCGAGGGCTTCATGTATGGCCGAAGGCTTCATGTATGGCCGAAGGCTTCATGTATGGCCGAAGGCTTGATGTATGGCTGAGGGCTTCATGTATGGCCGAAGGCTTGATGTATGGCCGAGGGCTTCATGTATGGCCGAAGGCTTTATGTATGGCCGAAGGCTCCCTGTGTGGCCGAAGGCTTCATGTATGGCCGAAGGCTCCCTATGTGGCCGAAGGTTCCATGTGTGGCCGAAGGCTTCATGTATGGCCGAAGGCTCCCTGTGTAGCCGAAGGCTTGGTTCAGCCGAGGGCTTCGGCCATACATGAAGCCTTCGGCCACACATGGAACCTTCGGCCACATAGGGAGCCTTCGGCCATACATGAAGCCTTCGGCCACACAGGGAGCCTTCGGCCATACATGGAGCCTTCGGCCATACATAAAGCCTTCGGCCATACATGAAGCCCTCGGCCATACATCAAGCCTTCGGCCATACATGAAGCCCTCAGCCATACATCAAGCCTTCGGCCATACATGAAGCCTTCGGCCATACATGAAGCCTTCGGCCATACATGAAGCCCTCGGCCATACATGAAGCCCTCGGCCATACATGAAGCCTTCGGCCACACAGTGCCTTCCTCCACACAAAGCCCTCGGCTATGCGAGGAGCCTTCGGCTAAACGGACTCAATCATCGAAGATTCCCTTTGGAGACAGCCAACCACCGCATTTAATGCGACGTCACATCCACCCACCGCATTTAATGTGGGGAACGTGCGATGGTCGGTGCCACCCCGATTGATGTGACCCCTCGGCCGTTGGATTACTGACATGCGTACTCTCATCACATTTATTGCTGCTATAAATAGCAGCCCTTATTCTCCTTGTAAATCACGCTGAGTTCATTTAATAAAATCGACTCTCTCTCCTCCTATTTACTCTGACTTCTCTCTAGTTATTCCCACAATAACCCCTCGGATAAGATACCCCCCGGGTAGACTATCCATCATATGGTGCTCTCGTTGAGAGGTTGAACACAATCAAGTGAGAAACCATCCCCAAAACATCCCAAAAAAATCGTTCCATTTACAAAAAATCAAGCAAAATCGGTCGGCCAAACAAAAAAAGGAAATCCGGATTTTCCCGGATAAGCGTCTTCAGCTGGTGCCATCACCGTCTTAAGCCGTCGTACGCCATCTGTTGAAGCTCCCTGCACCAGTTAGAGTCCGTTGCGCCGTTCTCAAGAAGTGAGGTCGCTTCTCCCGAACTCACTATGCGTCCCTCCGCTGAATCTATTCGAAGGGTGGCCAGGAGATGCGATTCCGATCTGAAACGGGAGCATGGTTCAGAGTGGAAAACCCCGGTATGAAGGTTTTTGCTCTTCTCCGTCTTCGAACACCGCCTTCTCCGGCGCCATTGTTCTCACCGCATGTAGCTCCACCTAGCCGGTCGCCGATTGCGCCGGTCGGTCTTCCACCTCACACGTCGCCGCTTGCAAGCCCACCTCTCGGTCGACATTGCCTGAGGATCTGACGGTTCGAGGTTCTCCATTAATGGTTGCTTTGAATTCTTAAGAAGCAGATTGGAATCTTTTCCTGTCGAGCTACCCACTCAGCTGCGGATTAACATATCATATTTGATCCATCTAGTTTCGTTCTCCTTTGGCATATATGGTGGTCGTTTTGCTCCATCGTCGTTGCCGCCCTCCGCCCTCACTTCTTGTGACCGCAAAGCGTGACTTCTTCCTGGTGCTGGTGAGCTGCGCAGATTGTAGATGAGCTGGTGTAATGGACGTATTGACAAAGAATCAGACGTAGTACAAATCAATTGACCCACTAAATTAATTCACTTTGTGAATTATGGCCTAGAAGAGTCCATACGTGGATGCACTTCACTCCTGTCATGATGGCTGGCTGAGAAAATACGAAGCAAATATCTAGCTTCTGTTAAAATATGTGGGCCAGCAGATAACATTTAGTCCAGAACCAGTCTCAACAAAAACGGTGGGCTGTGGTTCTTGCAACAGATTCAGCCCATTTTAAAAAGATAAGTACTTTTTAATTTTCATATTATTTGTTTTTATTTAAATTAATTTTTGTCGGGCGAGCATCACACTATCACGCACTTATGATCAAATACCTAGTAGAGTGTGGCTTGAGACCCATCACTAGGATTTAAAGCCCTGTCTCCTCAGGCACAAAGCCTCGACCAAGTCGGGCATGAAGACAAAACCCGACCAAGTCGGGTACGAAGACCGGTCTTAGTCATTCCTCGAGTGGCGACCGTTGCTTACGAATGGCTCACACATCATTCTACTAAGTATTTTATCATTACATTAACAATTCACATCTCCACTTGTTTCAAGTGACGAACTCCCGATCGGGAACATAAATCCCAAGGAAAATTTTTATATGTATGATAAATGTGTAGGTACGAAGATGTACTCATTTTCACCTCGTCTCCACTCGCCTCAAAGAGTGGGGACTGGGGGACTGAGGGGTCAGAGTTTCTAGATGAGCAGAAAACATCACGCAAGAGCAGGAACGAGAGCTGAGTCAGTTGAAGAGGAGCTGAGCTAGATTGATTATGCCGGAGGGGATTTACCTTCCTTGTTTCATGTTGGGGGCGCTAGGTGTACTCTTTTTCCCTTTATTGGGATTTTTTCCCACTGGGTTTTTCCTAGTAAAGGTTTTTAACGAGGCACCTCCCCATAATGGACAAGGGTGGTGGTCCCCCGACCGAAGAGGAAGAACGTTGCAGATACAGTTTGGACTACTCCCTTTCGCCTCGAGTACTCTCGACTCAGGGAGTGAGGGACTCCTGATGGATTATATGGACTCCGACCCCCCGGTACGCCGACTACTAGGCCTGGACAGCGGCCCACACACGTTTAGCAGATATCATTAATATTATTGTACATTATTATTATTCGGATGTTCTAGATTAGCTTTTTATACTATCAGTCCATTTATGTAACCGGGTCTGTCAGGCCCATATTAGAGGCCCAGACCCGGATTTTCCCTATATATACTCTTTATAGGAGGCTTGTAACTGATATAACCAATACTCATTCTAAACACATTTCCTTTTTCTTCATCATTCCTTCTCCTACATTCTTGTTCAATTTCTCTTAGTTATAGGTTATGGGTATCAATTATCCAACAATTATTATTATTAATTATTACATATCAATGTTATATTATTACACTTCCCAATCACGTAGGTAGTATATGATCTTCCAATTATTATTTTGTACTCCTAATTGGTATTATGTTCATTTTTATTATCTATCTAAATCCAAATGCATTTTAAATTTTGTTAGTCAATATAGTTTAATACAATTTTTTTTGTCATTGCTTATTGTATTATCAGTATTAAAGTTTGAAGGAATATAATTTTTATATTTATGAATTTAAATCTTTTATATAACTAATTATATACACACACATATGTATTGGTGTTGACCGGGTTTACCGGTCGTTGACCGGGCTGACCCGCCGGGTCTGGGTTGACTCGTGACCCAGTCATTTGTCCGGGTCACTTCCCGGTCCGATTTTTACAACATAGAAAAAACTTTTCATGACACATAGGTGGTTCTGAAGGAGAACGAGATCTACCATTATATGTGCATCCCAAAAGAATGTGCCGGAAACCCCTCACTAGATGAAACTGGTTGGGACACCAAAACCACTCTCCACATTGAGGATAAAAAAAAAACAAAAAAGAACATTTCAGTTGAGTCATACATCTATCAAGAATCTTCACTACCTAGGACAAATAATGGAATCTACTTATTTTGAATTGTCTGTGACAAACAAAATTTTTGTGAATGACAGACATTTTGTGTACCCATAGGAAAACTCTTTTAGTTTTATATATAACGATTGTTTTTTCTTATCAGTTTTATAATTTCATTGACATATTCATACAAATATTAAAAATGATTTTAGTGTTACAATTACACATTCTATAATGCGTACACCAATCTTCCATAATACAATCAGTTGAAGCCATCGTTATTTTTTTGACCGAATAATTAAAATGAATGGATACTCAACGGATGACGAGTTGCCGACGACCTTGGTTAGTCAGCAATTATCTCGATTACGAAAATGGCACAACAAATAATTTCGCAATACGGACGTAAGCTACGATGACACGCTCACGTGGGGTGTTGTTAGCTTGGTCTGGCTTCTATCGCGAACGCAAATGGACAGTCAAAAGTTTGGTCAACCTTCGATTTCTTTCACATCAATTTCAAAAAGGAAAAACACTCATGTCTTGGAGTTTCAATTTTTCCATATTATGTGCAAAAATGATGTTTGTACTCATTCTTATATCCACATTTGTATCCACTTATGTTTGTGAAGATTTTTTTGTCTGTGAAATCCGACTCACAGACAATATTTTGCATAAATAAAATATTGTCTGTGAATCGGGTTCATAGACAAAAAAAAACATTCACAAACATGGTAGGTATAAGGTGGGTATAAGAGTGGGTACAACAAGCATGGTTGATGTATGTGACTATTGTTTTATACTTTTATCTCTTCTTTAGCTAGCGACAAAATTGATCCTTATTATGGAGTAGTATACTAGTATTTAGCTTTTTCCATAACTAGAATTACTTAAATTTGGATTCATATAAGTGACCAGTGGGAACAGTCGCTCTCGTAATTTTTTTTTCTATTGGGTATAATTACTCCAAAAATTTAATATATACTCCGTAGAAATTAATACTATCGTATGTACCTGTTACAATATATCTCTCCTTATTTGAAGGATCTTGTATCATTTTGGTAAGTTTTTTTTCACAATGTCAAGTACAATGTCTAGATGTAGACATTGTGCTTGACATTGCGGGAGAACTTACCAAAAACACATAAAACCGTGGAAAGAATGTGAGAGAAATGTCACAGATTCAATTTTTTATGTCTATCTCTTTCATGCTACATAATGCATCATGCACATTGTAGCATTGAAGATGCTCTAAAAGAGTGTACAATAACTACAATACAGTTGACTGTAATAAATTATTATCTCATTATTTATTAATAATTAATTTGTTCAATTATGATATTCTAATTGATTTAAGGGAAGGTAATTAGAGTTAGTGTAAAACTTGCCTCTTTTGTACGGAGTGACATTGTTTTTAGATGAAACACCTAATACTCAGAATAATGGAGAACCCATGTGGATTGAATCAGAGGTAGTTGGATCTCCATATCATCCACAATTATTTTAGTGATAAAGATCCTCCGTCGGCCTTCAATACTATAAAACACATCACTTTATACCCTTCATATCGTTACATTTTGAACCCGTTTGGTAATACTTATTTATTCAAATTTATGAAGTTCTGGGTGGAGTGGCTGTATTTTACTGATTATGCTGATTTATGAAAAAATTATATTTAAAATATTTGTTATTAATAAAAAATAAAAAAAAAATTATATGAAAAATAGATAAAATGATCCTCTATAGTAACTTCAGCCTATACAGCCAGAAAAGTAACTTCAACCTTACTTTTTTCTTCTTATTAAATAATTCAGTGCGCGAAATCAAAAGTTATGTGTTTGGTGAAAAACTTGCTGATAAATCTGATAAGTCGAAAAAAAGGGTCACCAAACGGGCTCTTATAGTATTAAACAAATATACTCCGTACATTGTAGGGCTAGATGGATAATATTTTTATATTTCCTAATATGTATAATTATCTGTTCTAAACAAAAATCTATTATAAGGACTTATAAGTACATATCTAGCTAGAGAGGGCAGTTCATATACATAGTTCCTGAAGAGCAGGCCCCTGTGGACAAGCCCATCAGAGGGTCTTTCCGGTGGAATTTTTGATGAAACTTTTTGAGCATGTTCTCCATCAAGTCTAGTTTATCCATACCAAAATTCACCTCAAAATTCGATCGGGAAGGCAGTCAAATAAATTCTGGAAAAATACTGAGCATTCTGCGCACATATAATATGCAATATGTTTCCAGAATTTATTTGACTGTCTTCCCGATCGAATTTTGAGCTGAATTTTGGTATGGATAAACTAGACTTGGGATGTTTTCTTTTGGACTGAAATTTGCTGGTCTGGTCTGGTCTGGTCTGTTTAAGTCTGGTCTGGTCTGATCTGAACTGGTCTGGTCTGGTCTGAACTGGTCTGGTCTGGTCTGGTAAACGGCTAGTCTCTGTGTATTTTATAACTACGGAAGTCTAGTCTGGTCTGGTCTGGTCTGTTTAAGTCTGGTCTGGTCTGGTCTGTTTAAGTCTGGTCTGGTCTGATCTGGTCTATTTAAGTCTGGTCTGGTCTGGTATGGGACTGAAAACAGTCCAAAAGAAAACATCCTTGATGAGGAGCATGCTCAAAAAATTTCATCAAAAAAATCCACCGGGAAGACCCTCTGATGGGCTTGTCCACACGGGCCTACTCTTCAGGAACTTCTGATAGAAACGGGACTCTCTAGCTAGATACATTTACATACGTGAAGTGTGAATCGTGATTGATATCGACGATAGTGACATACGTCCATATATACTATCTTATGGAAATTAATATAGCATACAAGAACTTTGAACAAATGGGGAAATTAATTCTTAATCTAACAACATTATAATTGTGAATGAGGGTTGATACCCTTGATTTGTGTCAATACATCTTTACATAAAAATTTGTGCATTATGCTTAGAAAATGATACCTAACTTTTCAAGTGACTTTAATAACCCTAATGGTGTAAACTTTCGTTAAGTTACTTGATTCATAAAGACATTTAAATACTACTTACTATGATAAATTCGTGAACTTTAAATAAAGTAATATGGGAACTATTTATATTAAAATAAGTAATAATCAAATTTCGTATATTAATATGCACTTTTTAAACTTTTTCAAGTTTGAAGGGTTCGGCGGTTTACCGCCGTTGCCTTAGTGTAGCCCGATATTGCCCTCTTCGCCTGTCAACCTTGGTTCGAATTGTATCGATACTAAGGAAGGGCGAGAATGTGGCTTTGGTTTGTTGCTATCGGCAGGTTTTGGTAGAGTGCAGACGAAGACATCAAATTCAACTGCTGTGGCTGTGGGTTTGGGACGAGCAAGCTTTTCTCTCGAAGGGGCATATCGGCGGCTGTGGTTTGGGATTTTTCAACTATGGAGGATGTGGTAGAGCAGTATAGACGACTGGCTTTGGAGAAAGAAAATAGTACATTGAATTTTGATGATGAGGAAGAAGAAGAAGAAGAAGAAGAAGAAGAAGAAGCAACCGTTCCAAAGGCAAAGGTGACGGAGTTTCCGGTGGTGGGAGTCATCCTCACCGACCGGAAAGTCAAATCTCAGTCAGTACAGGAACTGTTTGTATCGCTCTGGAGGCCAGGAAGAGGAATGGCGTTTCAAGAAATTGATGAAAAGAGGTATCTTTTCACTTTTAATCATAAAATTGATATGAATCGTGTTATAGAAGATGGTCCTTGGCTATTTGAGCCGAATCTGTTACTGCTAAAGGCAGTTGGCCCTAATGATATACCGCATAAAATGGACTTGTTTGAAGCAGAATTCTGGGTGCAAGTGCACAATGTGCCGTACAAGTTTATGAATGTAGATACTGCTAGGAGGGTGGGTAACTATATTGGGGAATTTATTAGTTTTGATGAAAGCCACTTTAAGGGAAAATGGAGTTCTTACTTGAGGGTTAGGATAAAGATGGATGTCAGAAGACCCCTAAAAAAGGGTTCCACTTTGACTAAGGGAGGGGAAGGACACTGGGTAGATTTTAAATATGAAAAACTACCAAGCTTCTGCTTCATTTGTGGGATTATGGGGCACTCTGAGAAGTTTTGTCCATTAAAATATGTGGAGGGTCTAGTTTTGGAGAAAAAATTTAGTGATGATCTCGGAGCAGGTGGTGGGGGTAAGATTAGCCCCACGAGGGGCGGTAAGTGGTTGGGGGATAAACAGGGAGGTTCGAGTCAGCACTGGAGGGCTCAACATAATGGAGAAGGCACTATGGGACAAGAACGTAGGGGAAATACAGCTGAGTCTGAAAGCAGTGGCACAGAGGAAGAGACTAGAAGCGGTGCAGGGGAGGTCGCGGTGGATCAAAAGCGCAGGAGAGTCTGGAAGGAACCGTCAGAGGAAAACAACTCAGGGGAGGAGATGGCACTGGACAACACAAAAAACGGGGAGGAGGCGAGTCTCAGCTCCTAGGCCCGCCTGATGTGTTCATGAAGCTGCAGGTGCAGAGTTTCCACAATGGTGCTTATTTTATTATTGCTTGTTTTGTTTCTTTTGATGGTCAGACTGTTGTTTTGGTTATTTGTTTTGGTTATTTATGTAAGACTCTTGCATTAGGCTCGGGTGATGAGTGTGCTGCAGTAACCATTATTGGCTCAGTTATGCCTAGTTTAGGATCAGCGAGTTATATTGCTTTTTTGAAGGTGGTTAACTCAGAGTCTGGCCCAAGGGCAGATGATTATCGGTTGTACTCTTGTTATTTTAGATCCTTGCTGAATGCTTTTATTCTAATATAAGCCCCCTTCATTCAAAAAAAAACCTTTTTCAAGTTTGACTTTTTTTTATAGTTAATTGCATCGATTTTTTTTACAATAATGAAGCAAACACTATAAAAAATTTATGGGATTGACACGGATTTGTCATGGATTTATCAATTTTTTCGTGCCAAACTATTTTTGGCACAGATTTGGCATATCCATGTCAAAATCCCTGCCAATTTTGGAAAACTCATACCAAAAATCTCTGTCAATCTCATATTTTTTTTGGTAGTGAAGTACTTCGTATGTATTTACATGATAATATAAATCTTTTTACTATAATGAATATTTCTCCTCAAATATATCTAAAAAAATTGTTTGTGCCGATCAAGTTGAACTTCTCCTCTTGTATATGCCTCTACTCATACTTAACAGAAATTAAGGTGATCAACAATACTATTTTTAGAGTTTAAATGTGTTAAGTTTTTTTACTTTGTAATTCATCAAACAACACTACTGCCTCATTATCCACGTAAATAAGGGTGGCCGAAAAAATATTATTAAACATTGGGCAAGTTTTGCCAAAAAAACATTGGGCATGAGTTATCGCGCCTTGCGCGATCAATCGCTAGTGTAAGAAATATATACGAACCTCGTGCATAATGTTTTTACTTGGACTGTAATTTGCTAATCTGGTCTGGTCTGATCTAGTAATGTTTGGTTTCTTTGTATTTTTATAACTATCCAAGTCTGGTCTGGTGTAGTCTGAACTGGTATGGTCTGATTTGGTCTGATCTGGTCTGATCTGGAATGAATTACAGTCCAAGTAAAAACATCCTTAGAACAATAACAAATCCAAGCCTAGTCCATGAAAAAATGCAGTGTAATAATATAAATTTGTATACCAACTATATATTTATATGATATAGTTTTTTTAATTGTTGCACACAGTAAGAATTCTAAGTTAGTATTTATATCAAAGTATAGTATTTACATTATGTTAGGGATATTGGGTCCAGGCCCAATATACTCGATCCATGATGAGAGAGGCCCAAAGGAAGCATTCGGCCCAAAGCGATACAAGACACCCCGGTCGAGACTCCCGGACAACATTCAGGTACATCTCTCCCAGTGATGCACTGTCATCCAAGTAAGAGGCTCACTCCGAGCAGCATTCAGCACATCTCACCTACTTGAGAGGAATCCACGAAAGTGCTACCATCCGAGTAAGAGCTGCGCCCCGCACAAGGTACCTGACCGGCATTCAGGACATCCCATCCACCTGGGACCTATGTAGCACCGATACGGGTACACGGAAACGCGGAAACGCGGAAACGGGTACGAGGATACGACAAAACCAAAAAAAGTAGGATACAAATACAGGGCCATATTTATAAATATTAAAAGTTATGGGGTCGTATTTATAAATATTAAAAGTAATAGGGGTACATTTATAAATATTAAAAATACATTTTTTTGAAAAAAATAGACATATATTATCCTCAGATGTCTACTCATTCATGGCATTGAAGTATTTTACATTTTCAAAATACTTAGAAATAAGTTCATATTTTATCTCATATACACTAGTGCACCTTGAAATATAAATATAGTTAATAAGTCATTAATATAAAATGAGAAATAAGTCAAACAACCATAGTTTTGAAATTAAAAGTGCAAATACTCAAAGTTCTTTAATAATGAAGATAGAATATAATATTTTAAAAGTTCTAATACATATTTCCGTTGGAGCTATTAATTTACAGGGATAATTAAAATCAGGGATAGAAGGATGAATGAATTAAAAATAAGCCCATTAGTTGTGTACCACATAAAAGCAAGGTAAACATTATTTTTAGTTTTTCATTTTTTAAGAATTTTATTATGTAAATTTTGAGTGTTTTTTAAAAAGTGTTCAGTCCCTGTTTTCTAATCTATAATATGTATGGAAGAGTGATCAAATGAGGATGAAGCTTTCCATTGATGTGTAGAAGGTTTTACAGAATGATATGAAAACTTAGCGTAGAAACCTATACACGAGAATAGGCTCTGCGGCTCTAGGGTATGAAATGTCTGGGAGATCTTAACCTAATCATTCTCCTAAGGGGCATATTTATAGCCTTGAGAATCGTAGGTTAACAAATGATTGAGCTCCAACTTTAAGGAGGCCCATTCATATTTAGGCAATTGAGCCTTTACCAAATAAGGCTTATTCTATGAATAAATAAGCTATTACAAAAAGGCTATTTGAACATTGATCACAATACAATTAAAATATCTCTAACAAAAAGCATTGTTTTGGAAGATTTTTTTTTTAAGTTGATATGGGTATCCATCAAGATACGAGTATCCGAAATTTTAAAATAATTACCAAAAAATGGAAACTTTTAAAAATTGCAGATACGACCCGAGAACGTACGGTACGGGTATCCTAGAGTATCGGATACGGGAACGTTTCCAATACGCCGACACGGCGCCCTAGTGAAGTATCCATGCTTCATAGCCTGGGACAACCCATTGAGTACTTCCACAAGCGGGGAATTCCGCACCCCGAACGGGGTACGCGAACGCAATATCAACAAGTGGCAGCAACATTTAATGCTAGGGTATGGCGGGAACAAGTGGGAACATGGCGGCAAAGGCAACATCCAACTGGCATTGGCCACATGTCCTTCTCACCTACTCCCCCTTACTATGAATAGCAGCATTTAATATATTGGAAAGAGTTAGCATTTGTATACTCAGAGCTTAGAGATAGATTTATTATCCCAGTGCTTGTATTAATTCACTACTTCGATAGGCTATTCGGGTAGTTCTTGTACTCACGATATTAATACGAGTTCAGCTCTTGAGTTCAATCCTTTTCACTATTTTATATTTTCTTTACCCATCCAACCAAGACTCACGTCCCCGAATACCCTAAGCGTGTGTTGGGCTTTTTGGGTCTACGGGACAAAACCTCAACACGTGATATTCTAATCTCAGCTGCTAAAGTTTTTTATTTGTATTTTCCTAATTTGATTAGAAATTCAACTTTAGGTTTCATTAGAGCCTCTCCATTGTTACACAAAAAAAAATTAATAATGTTACTTAGCTTATATTTTGTGATTTGTGAAATATTAGCGTTCTACTATATTTCAATAATAAGGGCTCTTTGAATACAATAAACAAGTGAACTAAAGTACCAAAAAAGTAATTAAAAAATGTGCAGCTAAGCTGCGTATAAAACAAAAAGACCTAAACAAAGAAGCAAATTATGGTGTATGTAAAAGAGAGGTAAGAATTCTGTTTAATTATAAAAATCGGTGTATTTTTATTCATATTTTAGAAATTGCACAAGAAAATATTGAAGGAAGATAATAAGACTTACAATATGACAACAAAATCTCTTTGACTGATTTTATAAATTTTTTAGAGGCAAATAGGCCCATGTACTAACAAAAAAGGTCAAATAAGCCCTTATTTAGGAGGCTCTGTCCGGCAGTCGTCATTTGAGGTGGTTCCCGGTGGAATTTTTTGATGAAATTTTTTTAGCATCTTATTCATCAAGTCTAGTTTACTCATACCAAATTTCAGCTAAAACTTAAATCGGGAAGACATTCAAATGAATTCTTGATGATAAGTGCGTTTCTAACTGCACAGTTATTTTCAAAAATTCATTTGAATGCCTTACCGATAGAAGTTTTAGCTGAAATTTGGTATGAGTAAACTAGACTTGATGAATAAGATGCTCAAAATATTTCATCAAAAAATTCCACCGGGAACCACCCCAAATGACGACGGCCGGACAGAGCCTCCTAAATAAAGGCTTATTTGACCTTTTTTTGGTTAGTACATGTGTCTATTTGCACCTTTTCCCTTCAATATATACTACGTGCATTATATCATACTTTAGTTTCTTTTTTTATATCATCAAATCCAACTAATATATTAAATCAAAATAACGTTCGTCACATGGCTGATAATACAATTTTAGTAGAAACAATAATATTCGTTGATCCTGTAATGGACTTAACTGAGCCAATGACTAGCAAATTAGACTTCTCATCACCTAATTTAAAATCTAGAATCTCTCTACTAGGAAATAAGAACACGTCCAAAACAATATGGAATTCGAAAGAAAAACACAAACAGAATAAAACGGAAATAAAACAGAGTTCACCCATCTTCTTCCAAACTCTAACCTTGCTTGCACTCCATGGCAACGACTCAGGAGGGGGACGCGCCCGCCGCTCATCCGCATCAATAGTCATGCTTTTGTATTGAATGACGATATCCTCTTTTGACATCCCTTGCTACTGAATCGAAATCATACTCCGGCTTGAAACCATACTTAAGCAAATTGCAATTTCGGTTTCTTCAACAACCATGATAAAACTGCAAACGAGCTCGAAACACTGCTGCTTCCAAGCCGGAAAAAACAGAAAGAAACGAAAACCGGCGCTGTGATCAAATTGATCACCGCCGGACGATACAAGCTAGGTGTTGCCTTGCGGCAACCCTAGAGAGAGCAAAGAAAACGTCTGAAGACGGCTGCGAAAGAAACGTCCGAAGACAACAACCCTAGAGAGAAGTTGCGAAATGGCCAGACTCAGCACCCAAAACTAAATAGTAGTATAAAGAAATGTTTGAGTTAGTTAGTATTGCGGTAAGTAGGGTCTCAAATAAGGAAAGTGTTATTTGTATAGTATACACCATTTTACATGTTGGCTGAATTGCTTGCACATAAATTATTTTTTTTCATTTTAGGAAGAAAATAGTTTTCTGCAACAACAATTTTTTTTTACCATACTACAAAAAATTATATCATCATTTCTTTCATAAAAAGAATTAAATCTTTATCCACAGATAATTCACACTTATAAAATGACGTAAACAAAAAACGTGTACACGCAACGAGAATGAAGTATGTGAAAGGAGAACGTCACTATTGGCGTACTCCGTATATGTTGTTACTATATATACACAAGACTACAAGTTGTGTTTCCTCCATTATATTGGCTTTCACACCGACTTATATTTTCCATTTATGCAATACCTCAACCAACAAAAATGGCGGACACCCAATCCAGAGCACCCCATGTCCTCGTCGTACCCACCCCCGGAATCGGACATCTCACGCCGCTCGTGGAGTTCGCCAAGCGCCTCTCTCTCCAGCACAACTTCTCCGTCACTTTCATCCTCCCCACCGACGGCCCCGTTTCCGCCGCCCACAAGTCAATCCTCGAGAACCTCCCCGCCGGGATTTCGTACACGCTTCTCCCGCCGGTCAACTTCGACGACTTGCCGGAGGACGTGAAGATCGAGACTCGGATATCCCTCCAGATCACCCGCTCCCTCCCGGCCCTCCGCGACGCGTTCCGGTCAATCTTCGCGACTGCGAAACCCGTCGCTCTCGTCGTCGATCTATTCGGGACGGACTGTTTTCAGGTCGCCGTCGAATTTGGCGTTTCGCCGTATATTTTTTTCCCGTCGACGGCGGTGTGCTTGTCCTTCTTCCTGAACTTACCAGAGATTGACGGGAAGGTTTCGTGCGAGTATAGAGAAATGGCCGAGCCGGTCCAGCTCCCGGGATGTGTCCCGGTCCGCGGGGAGGATCTGTTGGACCCGGTCCAGGACCGGAAGGACGAGGCTTACAGATGGGTCCTTCACCACACGAAGCAGTACAGAATGGCGGAGGGTATTCTCGTCAATTCGTTCGAGGATTTGGAGCCCGGCGCGCTGAAAGCCTTACAGGAACCTGAACCGGGGAAGCCGCCGGTCTACCCGGTCGGACCGTTGACAAAACTTGGGAAGCCCAAAGGGACGACGAACCGGTGCCCGGTCCTGGAGTGGCTGGACCACCAACCACGTGATTCAGTTATTTACGTGTCTTTCGGCAGCGGCGGGACCCACACACAGAAACAACTGGACGAAATCGCCTGGGGATTGGAGACGAGCGGGCAGCGGTTCGTTTGGGTAGTCAAGTGCCCAAACGACGTCATTTCGAACGCCGCGTATTTCAACGTTCAAAGCACGGCGAGCCCCGTTGACTTTCTGCCGGAGGGTTTTACCGAGCGTACGAAGGAGACTGGGTTGGTTGTCCCGGACTGGGCCCCGCAGTCCCAAATACTGAGCCACGAGGCCGTAGGAGGGTTCCTGACCCATTGCGGGTGGAACTCGATCCTCGAAAGTCTGGTTCATGGGGTCCCTTTCGTCGCGTGGCCGATGTACGCCGAGCAGAAAATGAACGCGGCCATGTTGACTGAGGGTCTTCGTATAGCGTTGAGACCGAACCGGGGCGAAGACGGGCTGGTCGGGAGAGCGGAAATTGCTAAAGCTGTTAAAGCATTGATCGGAGGGGAAGAAGGGGAAGAAGTTCGTCGGAGGATGAGCGAGCTGAAAGAAGCGGCCCGCCGCGTGCTCAGCCCGGAGGGGTCTTCCACAAAGGCTCTGGCTCGTTTCGCCGCCAAACTCAAAGAGAAATCCAGTTAATCAGCCACGGTCATGTTTGTTGTTTTGATGGTCTGATTTTTTCTTGTGAATTATTACACGTATGTTTGATTGATGCCGGATCATTTGATCTGGACCAGAATAGGCTCCCACATTTTCTTTATGCTTCCTTTTTTGACCTGTAACAAAATAATCTTCAATATCGTGGAAGACTTTTTAATCGTGATGTCCTTTTTAATCTGTTTGTAACTGTTGAGGTTTATTCCTTCAACCCTCGGGTCCAACACGTAAGCCCAAGGATTTCGAGTGGAGTAGGTGTGAGTAAACTAGCCCAACTAACAAGTGAGATGAATCAATAACAACAAGTAGCAAGTAAATGGTTAGGTATTATTATCTCTTAATAACTCCCTAATACAATACTTTTCGCTAAGGCTCCGACGGCCGTTCGTCTTACAGGGCAGTAGAAGTGCTGCGAGTAAGAATACTATAGCTAGAGTGCTAAGAATAGAAAGTTGCCAACCCTTTACAATGAAATAAATGCTTCTATTTATACCCGCCAATGGGCAGGTGGCTGTAGTGACGTGGCAGCCTGTGGACCGCTGGTGTCCCAACTACCAAATCTTTAGCATTAAATGCACTTCCCGCCAGAATCTAGGTTTCCCGCCGGATTAGTGGGGACGTTCATCCACCCGGGAAGTGAGTTGGATTGCTCCAAGTGTACCCTTGAGAGATATCGGCAGTTCGTCTCCTGGCCTTGAATGGTATTCATCATGCGGACTGGGTTTCCCCGATGACTACAGGCTTGTCCTGGGGACGTTCGTCGCCATCCCTGGTGGCCCGTGGTTCTGCTCCTTGTCCCTGCATATACGTTCGTCGGGATGAGCTGCTGGGCCTGAGTCCCCCAACACCAGACGTTCGTCCATCCTCAGGGAACATGGGCCCGTGGGTTGGCCTAGTGTTCTAACCGGACGTTCGTCTAGCAAAATGGGTTAGTGGGCCGGACCTCGGCTTGGGCCCTTAACCCAACACAAGTCCCCCACTTCTGATGTTCTGAGCATGCGCAGGACATAAGGAAGTATGAACCTCCCCGAAGTGGACGTCCGTATCTTGATACTTGTGTTTATTGCACCTGGTGGAAGCGTACGTTCGTGGTCATGGTGCTTGACAGCCGTTGACGGTTCAGGAAACGAGGTGACGGCTGATGTTGCGGCGGCGCATTTTCCCGAGGAAGTGTCATCATTACGTTCCCATCCCACGCACAGCGCGTGGGCCGGAATACGCTCCTTGCCACGTGTCCGCTCCTCGTTGGTCCCCCCGCCGGTGTCTCTCCTATAAATGCCGGGTTCTCCCTCTAAATTAGGGTTCCCAATTTCTGCTCTCCTGCTCTCGCGTTCCTGCAGCTCTTCAAGCTTTCTCCTGTTTTCAAGCTCGGCTAATCCCCTTTCTAAGGTAATTTCCATCCTCTGCTTCTTTTCCTTGTCTTGAATTCTCGCCGAGATGGTTTCGATGGAGATCTCGTCGAGTTCTGGTTCGGGTTCATCGGGTTCTTCCTCGGGCTCCTCCTCCGATTCCGGTTCACGCTCTTCGGGTGAGACTAGCACTTCCGGGAGTTCTGGCTCAGCCTCTACCGTGGGAACGGTCCGGGCCGGGGAGGCCCAAGATGTGGCTACTGCGGTGGTCCCTGGTGAAGAAGGTGCCGATTTGGGAGAACAAGGGAATATGGCCCTCGATGTAGTGGACCCCGTGGCTGATGCCGGGGAACGGGAGTCCGCCGGTGAGGACGAGCGTCCAGATGGGTATGACTCTGGGGATGAAGCTCAGGACGGCTCCGATATTGAAATATTCGAACTTGGGCTGAAGATAGATGTGGAGAGGCATCTGTGCCCGATCAAGAATGTCCTGTGCCATGAGCAGATCTTCTCGCAGGTGGCCCTCAGCAAACTGAAGGTATTCTTCCCCCCTCCGTTCGTATACAGCCTGCGTGGTGCAACCCACGTGATGAGGAGACGTCCAGGGATGGTTATGGTGCTTCTGGACTCCATCGAGGCTGGGCTGCGCTTCCCTCTTCATCCGTTCTTCGTGGAGTTCTTCTGTTTTTACCAGATAGCCCCCGCACAACTCATGCCGAATTCCTATCGGTTCGTCTCCGCCTTCCTAGTCCGCTGCAAGGACAATGGGGTCACCGCCACTCTGGACTTGTTCCATTACTTCTACCGGCTCACCCCCCAGAATTCTGACGGCTTCCTGAGCATTGCTGCTCGTCCGAAACGGAGGTTGTTCAGCGGAGCACCGAGCTCCATCCACGACTGGAAGAATCGGTTCTTCTTTGTGCGGTACGCGGATGCTCGTCTGCCATTGCGTTGGAACGGCTACCCGCCCAAAATAGGATCTCCGGAGCTGACCAACGACCTGGAGGAGGACATTAGAAAGATCTCGACGGGCGGCATCCGGCCCTTAGATGACTTCTTAACCTTCGAGGCGCTCGCCGCGGTAGGAATAGGTACCGCCCATGCTCTTGGACATCTCCCCTTCTACGCTCGTCTCGGGGTATTGGGCGGTCCTCTCCTCCGAGGTGAGTTCTTACTGACGTTCGTCCATCTAACCCATTTCCTTTGTCTCTTTCAGGTCTTCCCCCAACCCAGGAGCAGATGAATCACGAAAAACTCCTCAAGAATCGGAAGGGGAAGGGCGCCGCGGCCGACGCTGCCCTTGCCAAGGCCAAAACCGTCCAGGCAGCTGATTCCAACTCTTCCGCCTCCCAGGCCGATCGTCGCACCGTGGAGGCGGAGCAGCACCTCATTGCCACGGTGTTGGCACAAGGGTCCCAGGCCCCAGTCCTTGATTCTGGCGTCCCCGAGGTTGTGGCGCCTCTGCAGGCCGTCCATCCCCAGGAGGGGGAGAAAGCGGACAAAAAGTCCAAAAGGCCCAGGGGAACTGGTTCTTCGGCCCTTGAAGGGCAAGGGGTGATCCTCCCCTCTCTCGGACGTCCGGCGCATGACGTTTGGCAGGAGGTTGCCTCTCTGGCCGGCGTGGAGATGCCTCCCCGCACGTCTTCGGAAGCCTCCAATGCGACCCTGGCCGCCGCTCTTCAGGTAAGATCTCGCTCCGCGCGTGTTGCCTGATCACTTTTATTCTAATGTTTTGAAGTCTCACCTCCCGCGTCCGATTTGTAGGTCGGGCTCTCCGTTCTGCAGTCTGAGGCTGCCCGAGATGCCGAGGTCCTCCAGGCGAAGACCAAGGCAGATGCTGCTCTGAAGAAGGCGAGAGAGGCCGCTCGTCTTCAGGAGAAGGAGCTTGCGGCCAAGGATAAAGAATTGCAGGCCGCCCTGAAGGTAGCCCGTGAGTCCTCCGCGAAGCTCGCGGTCCTCGAGAAGGCCGGGTTCAAGCTCGTCCCAGCTCTCCCCGCTCCTAAGGACGAGGCCCCCGAGTGGCTCGTCGACGACACCGGGTACCACAATTCTGGGGCATTCATGATCGCCGCCCAGAGGTATCTCGGCGGCGCCTTCGGCGATGTATTCGCCGCCGAGCTGCAGAAGCAGGCGCCGAAGGATCGGCTCAAGTTTGGGGTCCGGATTCTGGAAAGTGCGCCCCTGGCCGAGAAGTTCCTATATGATGTTGGGGATAGCTCCTTCGTCATTGGCTTCAACGAGGGGGTGAAGGCCACATTGCCGGTCTTTGCCGCTCTTCAGGGCCCCCGATTTGATCTGGCCGAGCATACGTCAGATCCAGAGCTGATCCGGGCCGTGGGCAAGCTGAAACGGGACGCCCGGCGGGAGGAGGCCAGAGCCAGGGGGGAGGTCCCAGAGCCCCCGACCCCCGAGCCCGAGCCCGAGGAGGAAGAAGAAACCATCCCTGGGGGATCCCGGCCCATTTCTCCAAATTTTGTATAATGTAGCTCGTAGTTTGTTTGTTTTGATCCTGTGCTTATCCGGCCAGTAGAGCCGAAGAATATACAACTCTTTTTTGCCTTATCATTGTCTCTACGCTCATGAACTCTTTTTATCTTCTTTCTTCGTTGGTAGTTTTTCGTTTTTTCTCGGGGACGTTCATGTCCATAACTCGCCCTCGCGTCCCAAACTTTCGGGATACGAACGCATGCCTGAGAGCACCCCACATATGTTCCATCCCCAAATCCGTTCGTCGGAAGGAAGACGTGCGAAGATGCGGCAGTATTCTTCCGAATCAGTTGGTGAAGACGCCCGCCTCTTGGCCATTTGCGTAACCGTCCGTGGGGTCGCTCACGTCCACACTCCATTCCTGTTTCTCGATCCATCGGGGTATGAGCGTATGCTTTGGGAGCATTATATATGTAAACCACTTCCCCTAGACGTACGGGTTGCGGCCGTAATTCCCCGGGCCAGAGTTGGCGAAGACGCTCATCGGATGCGCTTCCCCGAGCCCCGTCCTGATGGGGGAGATCGCCGCTTCTGGAGTGGCGTACCCTTTTGCGCCTGTGCTTAAGCCAGGCACCCGTCTCGGACGTGCGTCTGATGTGAACATGGGACCTTCAGGCACACACGCACGTCCTCCTGTGAATTTGGCCTGCAGGTACGTTCTCTGTTTGCCCTTTCGGGGGACGTTCGTGGCATCAAGCCAGATTCCTTCGAAGTGGCTGTGAGGTGATAACATCGAGGAGCCTTTAATACCGCGGTAGGTACCGGTATCCGGATGCCACGTGTTCCACCGTGATTGGCGCAGCCTCGCGGTGCTGCCTATAAGTACCCAAGGCCTTGCGAAACCTCCATTTGCTCCATTTCTAGCTCTTGTGCTGCACAATCATCTCCTCTCTCTAGCTTTCTTTGGTACCGCTTCCGACTTCAGCACCCGTAGGTACCGAACGTCGTCATGTCTCTGTCCATACCAGGGTCCCAAACTATTGATAGGTTTGACGATGGGTGCTCCTCTGGTGATGACCTAGAGTTCTATGAGCGGGGTATGCCACCATGGCCCCCCCGTCATCACCTGAATTTCTCTTGCGTTCGTCGTCAGCGCCAGCGTCTCTTGAACGCCGACCGTCGGTTGATAAGCCAATGGTTCCTTCCCCCAAGGGGTTACGACGATCGGATTCTGCGCAACCCAATGCGCCATTTGCCCGGCTACGTGGTGGTCCACTTGGACTCTGTCATAGCCGGCCTCCTGTTTCCCCTCCACAGCTTCCACATAGAGCTTTTTAGGGGCCTCCGGGTGACACCCGCTCAGTTCGTCCCCGCTGCTTATAGGATCATCGCGGGTTTTATAATTAGATGTCACAGCGTTGACGTGACCCCCACCGTGGACCTGCTGCAACACTTCTTCCGGCTATCTCCTTTCGGACGTACGGGGTACTTAACCCTGATCGCGCGTCCGTCCATGGTCCTGTTTTCTAACAACGCCGGGAATCCGGACGGCTGGGAGGAGCGGTTCTTCCTCGCCGAAGTGGGCTCCCCGATGCCATTCTCCGATAGGTGGAACGCCTATCCGGTGAAGTCCATCCCGCCGCCCATGACGGATGAGGAGCTCGGCTATGCCAAGCGCATAGCTGGTCTTGGTGTTCAGAACCTCCGGTCGCTGGTGGCCGAGCCTTTCAAGGCCCGGGCCGGACTAGGTGCGTCTATTTGTACTTGCATTGTCCTGTCATCCTCTAGTTGTTACGATTCTGAACGTCTTGATTTTCTTCCTGCAGGAGTATTCCCAACTATATCATCCATGGGGCGCAATCATATTACTTCGCATGCCCATGGCCGCGACAACAGGCATGAGGATAAGGGCAGGAAGCCGCTTGTCCCAAAAATTGAGCCTCGGACGAGCAGGAGGCGGTCAGATGACGCACCAGAGGACGGGGCTTCGAAGAGGCTCCGCATCGATGGTACCGCCTCCAAAGCCATCATAGTGGCTGATGACTCCGACGGTGAGCCGGGAAGTCCCCTGAAGCGGAGGCCCTCCTCCCGGAACAAGCCCCCTGTTTCCCCTCCGGCCAATTCTGAGGTCCGTCGACTTAGGGATGAAGACGTCCCTGCTTCCAAGGGTTCTGACGATGCTCGTCCCCCTTCGCCCCCAGAAACCAACGGGTCCTCCCTTGGCCTTATCGAATTCTCGGGGGTTGGCCCTCGTAAGGAATCGATGATGCTCTTCGGCCAGACCGCATCTTCAATCTGGTGTGGCCTTAACCTCAAGGTCCCCCAGGATTTCGCCGCCCAGGAAGCTCCTGAGGATCTCCTGGAGTGTGGGCAGAGCACTCTTGACAAGGCCGGGTTATATTTCCACCGAGCTCGGATGGCCTTTGAGAATCAAGGCAGGGAAATGACCCGGGTGCGGGCTGAATGCGACGCCCTTCTGAAGAATGCCAAGGGCAGGGCTGGGACGCTCCAAGAGAAAGCTGACGCCTATGATAAGCTCGTCCAGGAGAGCGCTTCCCAGAAGGAACTCCTTCGGAAGCAGGAGGCCGAGCTTGTAGATCTTCGCAGCCGGCTGTGGGCTGTGGAACAGGCCAAGGTGGGGATCCGCCGTACGGGTGTGGATAATCATGTCCCCATCTATGAAGCCGATGTTTCGAAGATCAAGGAGTCTGGTTCCATCGAGTTCCAGAAGTCCAAAGCCTACACCGGTGCCATCCAGACCATGGCCAGGAAGTTCCTTCCGAGGTTCGTCGGCGAGTTCTTGGCCACCTGCCCGGACCCTTATCTAGATGGTATCAAGCTGCTTCAGGCCACCCCCACTGGGGAGCGCTTCCTTGATGATCTTGCCGACGACACTTATCTCAAGGGTATGGTCGGCCTTGTGGCAGAGAACCTTCCTGTCTTTGAGCGTCACTTTGGGGCTCCTTTTGATCCCGCGGCAGCTGGTTTCGATTCCCTGATGGTGGACGCCCATAAGGGGGCCCTTGAACTGCTGAGGGAGCGTAAGGAGCGCGAAGAAGCTGAGGCCAGGGAAAGAACCATGCAGGTCCCCTTTTCGGCCCCAACTCCTGACGCCGGCCAAACTTAATTCTCCGCTCATAGTCTGTACTTCACAATTATTTACACTGTAATTTACATTACACATTGTACTTTCCGGTCATCAGTACCGAAGAATAAAAATCATTATTTGTTCCATGTCTCCGTCTCTCTCCTTTTTTTTTTTTTTTTTTTTTTTTGGAGTCTTTTTATCAGTCTTTGTCCTTCTCTAGCTTCGTGGGTACTTGTCTCCTGGTTTCGTAGGAGACGTTCGCCATCCCCGCCTCGAGAAAGAACAGGTTTATCCACGTCGGGATTCCCTATCTCCGTTCGTCCCCAGCCGCGAACTACTAGTCTTCTGGCTTCGCAGAAGGCTTTCGTCATGCGCTCATCAGGGGGAGGAACTAGGCTTCGTTCGTCCTTGTCGTGGTCCTACTAATCTTCTTCCCTCGAAGAAGACGTTCGGTCATCCAACGATCGCAAGGAGGTCACTGGTTTATCCACGTCGGGATTCCCTGCTTCGTCGCCCCATATCCGTGGCCCTACTAACCTTCTGCTTCGGCAGAAGGTGTTCACCGGCCTACGGGTCATGGGGAAACTGGTTTATCCTGCCGAGGTTCCCTTTGGTACGTCCAGCCCCCCCCACGTTCCTACTGACCTCCGCGTCGGGAGACGTTCGTCACGTGGTGAAGGAAGATCAGGCATACCTCGTCAAGACTCCCTCTCTCCTAGGAGCTTCTTTATCCCCTTCTCCTCTCTTTTCCCTTTTTTTTTTTTTTTTTTTTTTTTTTTTTTTGAGGAGGAAATCATTCAACAGCACTTCGGCTTTTAATCTCTCTGTAGGAAGTGAAGAACGGAAATAATCCTTTTAATATAGAGATGACGATTGGTGGTGTTACATGGTACTTCGACCAAAATATTACAACGATCTATCTCTAATTATTGGTAGAACTTCTTCAAGTGTTCGACATTCCAAATTCCAGCGTGGTTCCCCTCCAATGTGTGGAGAAGGAACGTCCCCTGGTTGTATCTTCTCATGACCCTGTACGGCCCCTCCCAGTTTTTGGCCATTTTGCCTCCTTCGAGCGGCCTGCTTTTCTCCCTTTTTCTGAGTACGAGGTCCCCTGCTTCAATTTCGCGGATCTTCACCGCCTTGTTGAAGTATCTTTGGGTGGCTCGGTGGTATTCCTCCATGCGACGAGCTGCTAGGTCTCTTCGCTCCTCAATGAAATGGAGCTCCGCCCGTAGGTTTGCCTCGTTGTCTTTTGGTTGGAAGTGTCTCGTGCGATGCGT